GTGGACTTCAACTCCCAGAATTCTGGGAGTTGAAGTCCACTCATCTTAAAGTTGCTGAGGCTGAGAATCACTGCCCTAGAGATAAAGGAGGGCCATCAAAACCATCAGTTCCTGTGGATGCCTCTACTTAGAACAATGTTCCTGTTGCCTTTCAGCTAGCAGGAGCAACAGAGCTGGTGCAGAGGGGGTGAAGGAAAGGTGACTGTCCCTAGGAGAATCCATGAAAGTGTAACGGTGTGTGGGAATGACCTTGGGAGACAAGGCCCAGAGATGCTGCCTAGGGGACAGTCAGAAAAGAGACAGCCTAGTCCGCAGCTGGACAGTGGGTGGGGCAAGAGGCTCAGAAGAGACCCTCCCTAGTTTCTTGGGCTGTAAAGGGGACGGGGGGAGAGATGGACTTTCAGACTTGTGAGACTCTGTTAATGTAACCTTACCATAAAGTAGAATTAGCTCCTTTGGGTGTGTTTCCTGTCTGGTCTACCTGCTAAGGCTGACCTCCACCTGCTGTCTCTTAACTGAACGTTCCCTAGGCAGCGTGTCTGGGCCCCTTCTCCCAAGGTCATTCCCACACCCCATTACAGAAAGGGTCCCACTAGACTAGGACATATATTACAGAAAGGGTGGCCATCAGGGGCCTGGAAAGCAAAATCAACTTTTGCAGGGTACTGACTTGTTCTCCAGGACTATATCTGGCAGCCAGAGCAAGGTCGAAGGGATCCGTAAACAGCTGATGTTGTCATAATTCTCTGGGTCCCACTGCAGACGGTAATCTTTCCATTTCTGGCAACGAAAAACTTGATGACTCATATTGGCTTGGCAAATAGTCACAAGACCAGTGGCTAGTTTCTTTAACAGACGAATCTCCTCCATGCATCTCAGTTATTTTGAGCCAGGCCCAAGTTGAGTTTCACAAGCACCAACCCACCTCCCCATTCACTATCGAATATACTGGGGTAATTCTCAAAAATCCTGTCCAGGTTTAAAGAAAAGCAAGTTACTAGTCCTCAGTGCTGAAAATCACTGTTGGAGCTAGGACCCTGGTTGAGATATTCTGTAAAGTATTACGGCTGACTGATGTTTCCTTAAAAATCTCTTCAAAGAACCTAGACTTTTTTTTTTTTTTTGCCCTTAAAATGAATTTTTGAATAAAATATCTTAATGAGTAGATAGAAAGATGCGTGCCTGTTTGTATTTCGTCATTTGAAAACAAATAAAACAGCAATCAGAAGAAATAATTACAGTAAGGCAGTGATGTGGACAGATATGACCACAGGTTAGTGGAAACCATGGTTAGGAATGGAAAACCACATTCACACACACACAAATCAGAACTCCTGGGTGTGACATTTCCCACATGCCTGGGCTACAGCAGAGAAGAAGACTTCCCCAGGACTAACCCCAACTTTGGAGAGCAATAGGATGCAGAGAGAAAACCCTTCCCTGATGATCTGAGAATCGAAGGAAGAGAAGCTGGCCTGAATTTGCAGGTGTCCTGCATCTAAACAGGAGGCTCCGTGATTTTGCAAAGATTAAAGAAAGCCACGTTGCACTTCAAGAGAAGCTCATCCTTTTGCCCCAAGGGCCTTTCTTACTCTGCATGCATCACTCAGGCCTTTTTAATCTATCCTCTCTTGCCAGGCCTGGCCCTGCTTTCCCCATCCATCTCAATGGTTGTAACTGCCCAGCCCACAGCCACCTGAATCCCAAAGCTGAAGCAACCCGATCCCAGGAGATCCCTGGACTCCCCACACAGACCAGACTTCCCAGAAGCCCACCACTGGAAAATGAAATCCAGAAAGATCAACCATGCCAGAAACCCACAACTCTTCCCCTAAGATTTCCAGTGATCTCTCATTGTTCCTCGACCTTCGCCATCGTCCTTGTAAACTTCAAGGATCTTCATGTGCATTTCTACTCTGCTGTAAGTCAATCCCTTTTCGCTTGTCCTTGCTATGACATAATCAGACTTCTTGGAGTTCAACCAAGTCCAGCTGCCTGTTTCACAGGAGTCACATAGGTCCCCACGAGAACAGGTATTTGTCTGCGTCCTTACCATCTCTACCCAGACATTCGTTGTGAGAGCCTCATCGATTTCGTTCTGGAAAAGCACAAAACGTGATTACAGAGACATCAAATAACTCATCTCAGCCAGGCACAATTCACTCCCAAAATCTTGGAATCCAGAGCAATGCTAGAGTTTCAAAGTATTGTCGAAGGAGGTTACAACCTCTCCATCCTGGTGGACCTCTCCTATGTTGCATTTCTGGAAGCACCGTGGTGCTATGTAAACTTTCTCAACCTGGCATGCTCCATGCACAGAAGTCTTACTCCCAGATTTGTCATGTCTGAGAAAAAATTTCAGACTGAATTTGAGAAACGGATCATGACATGCGTGCTGACTAACAAGCGCTTCAATTCCCAACTGCTGTAACCAAGAATGTGCTCTGGTTAACGGTCTACGCATCCGTAATAGTCTGGGAAGAATGAAAATGGATTCAACAGGATCCAGTGACTTTAGGAAACACAGATTTGGAATCCGAACGTAGCCTTTGGCAGAGCACGCCACTATGTTTCATGGAGGGGATCCAAGCTGATCCAGGAACAGTTCTGAGGAACATTCTGCCAATTTCACAAGAGTAATTTGCAAGCAGAAGGAATTTCTAGATGGAAGATCACCGCTCTACAGATGGCCAAAGAGTATTTTGCACCTTCTAGCTTGGCTTACCCTGGTGCATTAGAAAGGCAGTGCTAGAATCGAGGGATTACAGTTACAAGAATGAGGGTCAAGCTAGACTTCTTCATTGTGCAGATCACTGTTTCTCTGTTTCATGGCTGGTTGGGGAATTCTGGGAGTTGAAGTCCACACATCTTAAAGTTGTCAAGGTTGAGAAACACTGGTGCAGATTCTCAGCCAGTGGAACAGGTTGCCACATGAAGTAGCAAGATGGCTGGAGATCTATAAACAGAGGTTGGATCCTAATTAAGCAGGGGGTTGGACTACATGACCTATGAAGCCTCTTCCAACTCTGTGATTCTATGATTTTAAGCACAACTGAACAACTGAAAGAATCCCACAGATCTAATACCACTTTTGGCTTTCAGGCACTCTGTGTGTGTGTGTGTGCGCGTGTGAAATCTGACACTCAAACCAGCTGATTCAGTTCTGGATCATTCTGGCTTCTTCACCTGACTCAGATTTGAGAGTGAGCAGGAATATAAAATTAAGCTCTCCATTTCTGCTGGTGAAGTGACAAAAAGCATATCATAGCTTTGTCATATTTCTTGAGATTTCTATCATGAAACCCAAGAGATGGCACTCAGGAAATTAAGGCTAAGCTCAAACAGCAAGCTTAAACCCAGATCAACAAAGCACAGTTGCTACATTCACTAGGGAAGAGGTTTGGTAGCATGGGGAAGCTGTCTCTGATTCATTAAAGCGACCGTATCTTTTCCACGGGATGTGTGGCTGTGGCAGAGAGAGATGAGGCTGCTACAGTGAGTTACAAGGAGATGCCAGCATTCACACTTCCTGCTTTCCAAGCATCTCTTCCCATACATGCTATAAGCCAGGGTTCCTCAACCTCAGCAACTTTAAGATGGGTGGACTTCAGCTCCCAGAATTCCCCACTGGCTGGGGAATTCTGGGAGCTGAAG